CCCTCCCTCCCTTCCCCCCCCCAATTCCGGCGCTGGGTCCCCGCGGGGCTGGGGGGGAGGGGACGCGTCTGTCCCTGTGTCCCCCGTGGCCGTGCGTGCACGTACGTCCCTGTCCGTGCGTCCGTGCGTCCCCATGTCCGTGTGTCCCCGTGTCAGTGTGTCCCCATGTCCATATGGCTGATGTCCCCATGTCCACCTGTCCCCATGTCTGTGTGTCCCCATGTCCGTGTGTCCGTGTGTCCCCATGTCTGTGTGACCCCATGTCCGTGTGTCCCCATGTCTGTGTGTTCCCATATCCGTGTGTCCCCCTGTCTGTGTCCCCATGTCCATATGGCCGATGTCCCCATGTCCACCTGTCCCCATGTCTGTGTGTCCCCATGTCTGTGTGACCCCATGTCCGTGTGTCCCCATGTCTGTGTGTCCCCCTGTCCGTGTGTCCGTGTGTCCCCATGTCCGTGTGTCTGTGTGTCCCAAGGTCCGCGTGTCCCCATGTCCATATGGCCGATGTCCCCATGTCCCCCTGTCCCCATGTCCACCTGTCCCCGTGTCCGTGTATCCCCATGTCTGTGTATCCCCATGTCTGTGTGTCCCAATATCCGCGGGGCCCCATGTCCATGTGTCCCCATGTCCGTGTGTCTGTGTGTCCCAAGGTCCGCGTGTCCCCATGTCCATATGGCCGATGTCCCCATGTCCCCCTGTCCCCATGTCCACCTGTCCCCGTGTCCGTGTATCCCCATGTCTGTGTATCCCCATGTCTGTGTGTCCCAATATCCGCGTGTCCCCATGTCCATGTGTCCCCATGTCCGTGTGTCTGTGTGTCCCAATGTCCGCGTGTCCCCATGTCCATATGGCCGATGTCTCCATGTCCACCTGTCCCAATGTCTGCATCCCCATGTCTGTGTGTCCCCATGTCCATATGGCGATGTCCCCATGTCCGTGTGTCCCAATGTCCCCATGTCCCTGTATCCCCATGTCCGTGTGTCCGTGTGTCTGTGTGTCCCCAATGTCCATGTGTCTGTGTGTCCCTATGTCCTCATTTTCATGTGTTCCCATGTCCCTGTGTCCCAATGTCCCCATGTCTGTGTCCCCATGTCCATGTGTCTGTGTGTCTCTGTGTCCCCATGTCCCTGTATCCCCATGTCCGTGTGTCCATGCGCCCCCGTATCTGTGTCCGTGTGTCCCCAATGTCCGTGTGTCCCTGTGTCCCCGTATCCAGATGTCCCCAATGTCTGTGTGTCTGTGCGTCCCCGTGTCCCAATGCCCGTAGGGCTCATGTCCGTGTGTCCCTGTGTCCCCGTATCCAGATGTCCCCAATGTCCGTGTGTCCATGCGCCCCCGTATCTGTGTGTCCGTGTGTCCCTGGGTCCCCGTATCCAGATGTCCCCAATGTCTGTGTGTCTGTGCGTCCCCGTGTCCCAATGCCCATAGGGCTCATGTCCGGGTGTTCCCGTGTCCGTGTGTCCCACGTCCGTGTGTCTGTCTGGCCCCCCCCCCTTGGTGCCTCCAGACTCTTCGAGGGGTCTCAGGGGGACCTGTGGAGGTCTCGGGGAGGTTTTGGGGGGTCCCAGGGAGGTCTGGGGGGTCCTGGGGAGGGTTTGTGGCGTTTTGGGGTGTCCTGGGCTGGGGGTCTCCGGGGGGTCCCGACGTGGGGGTGACGCGGTGTCCCCGCAGCGTGGACGGCGAAGCCCCGGGCAGCGAGGGGGGGGGCCCGGTGCCCGACAGCCCCGGGAGACCCCCCCCGTACCGGGGCCTCCCCCAGCCCGCGCCCCAAGGCCCGGGGGGCGCGGGGGGCGGCCCCGGGGGGGGCTCCCCGGGCGTGGGCTGGCCCCGGCTGCCCCCCCAGCCCGCCAGCGTGGCCCTGCGCAAGCAGGAGGAGGAGGAGGAGAGCAAGAGGCCGAAGGCTCTGAGCGACAGCTACGAGCTCTCCACCGACCTGCAGGACAAGAAGGTAGCTGGGGACACCTGGGGACACGTGGGGACACCCCCGGGGACACCCCCGGGGACACCCCCGGGATGGGTCCTGCTTGTGTGATGGTCACAGCCCACGTGTGGTGGTCACCTGCCACGTGTGACAGTCCCCAGCCTGCGTCACCACACCCGTGGCACGGTCCCTGTCCCCATGTCACGGTCCCTGTCCCCAAAAAATGGTCCCTGTCCCCATGGCATGGTCCCTGTCCCTATGTCACGGTTCCTGTCCCCATACAATGGTTCCTGTCCCCATGCAGTGGTTCCTGCCCCCATGTCACGGTCCCTGTCCCCATGGCATGGTCCCTGTCCCTATGTCACGGTCCCTGTACCCATACAATGGTTCCTGTCCCCATGTCACAGTCCCTGTCCCCATACAATGGTCCCTGTCCCCATACAATGGTCCCTGTCCCCATGAGGCCACCATGTCCCCTCTCTCTGCTGCCAGCCCTCCTTCCCTGGCTGTTGTCTCACCTGTGTCCTTCTCTTGCCCTGTCCCCATGGCCACATGTCCCTATCCATGTTTTGATGTCCTCATCCATGTCCCCGTGTCCCCATCCCCTGTCCCCAACCCCGTGTTCTCATCCACATCTCCATGTCCCCACCCATGTCCCCACATCCCCATGTCACCGTCCATGTCTCTCTCCATTTACGTCCCCATTCATTTCCCCATCCCCATCCCTGTCCCCATGTCCCCATCTGTGTCCCCATGTCCCCATCCTCATCCATGTCCCCATGCTCATCCATGTCCCCATGTCCCCACATCTCCATGTTCCCATTCACATCCCCATGTCTACATGTCCCCACCCATGTCCCCACCTGTGTTCTCATCCTCATCCCTGTCCACATGTCCCCATCTGTGTCCCCATGTCCCCATCCTCATCCATGTCCCCATGTCCCCATGCGTGTCCCTGTGTCCCCATGCATGTCCTCATCCATGTCCCCGTATCCCCACGTCCCCCGCCATGTCCCCTGTCCCCACCCCTGTCGCCATGCGTGTCCCCATCCTCATCCATGTCCCCACCCATGTCCCCATGTCCCCATCCTCATCCCTACATTCCCATGTCCCCATGTCCCCTGCCATGTCCCCATGTCCCCATGTCCTCTGCGTGTCCCTATGTCCCCACATCCCCACCACCCCTGTCGCCATGCGTGTCCCCATCCTCATCCATGTCCCCACCCATGTCCCCATGTCCCCATCCTCATCCCTACATTCCCATGTCCGCATGTCCCCTGCCATGTCCCCACGTCCCCACGTCCCCTGCCATGTCCCTATGTCCCCACATCCCCTGCCATGTCCCCATGTCCCCATCCTTGTCCCCACACATGTCCCCATGCCCACATCCTCATCCATGTCCCCACATCCCCACATCCCCATGTCCCCTGCCATGTCCCCATGTCCCCATGCATGTCCCCATGTTCCTATCCTCACCCACGTCCCCACATCCCCGCCATGTCCCCACGTCCCCACACATGTCCCCATGTCCTCTGCCATCTCCCTATGTCCCCCACATCCCCACATCCCCCACCATGTCCCCATGTCCCCATCCTTGTCCCCACACATGTCCCCATGCCCACATCCTCATCCATGTCCACATGTCCCCACATCCCCTGTCACATCCCCACGTCCCCACATCCCCTTCGACGTCCCCATGTTCCTATCCTCACCCACGTCCCCACATCCCCTGCCACGTCCCCATGTCCCCACACATGCCCCCACATCCCCACGTCCTCTGCCATGTCCCTATGTCCCCACATCCCCTGCCATGTCCCCATGTCCCCATCCTTGTTCCCACACGTGTACCCATGCCCACATCCTCATCCATGTCCACATGTCCCCACATCCCCTGTCACATCCCCACATCCCCTTCGACGTCTCCATGTTCCTATCCTCACCCACGTCACGATGTCCCCATGTCCCCATGCGTGTCCCCATGTTCCTATCCTCACCCACGTCCCCACGTGTGTCCCCGTGTCCCCGCAGGTGGAGATGCTGGAGCGCAAGTACGGCGGCTATTTCCGCTCGCGGCGCGCGGCGCGCACCATCCAGGCGGCGTTCCGGCGCTACCGCATGGCGCAGAAGTTCGAGCGGCTGCGCAGCGAGGGCGGCCGGGCGCGACGCCTGGCGCTGCCGGGGCTGCGCCTCCAGTTCTCCTTCGAGGAGTACGACCGCGGACCCCCGGCCCCCGCCCCCGGGCCGCCCCCGNTTTGTGGGGGTTGTGGGGTGGGGGGGGTCCTGAGGGTTATGGCGGTTATGGGGTCTGGGGGTGTTATGAGGGTCCTGGGGGTCATGAGGGTTATGGTGTCATGGGGGTATGGGGGTTATGGGGTCTGGGAGGTCATGGGGGTCCTGGGGATCATGAGGGTTATGGGGTCTGGGGGATCAAGGGGTTATGGGGGTCCTGGGTGTTATGGGGTCATGGGAGTCAAGGGGGTTAAGGGAGTTATGGGGATTATGGGATTTATGGGGTCCTGGGGGTCCTGCGGGTTGTGGAGTCAAGGGGTCATGGGCATGGGGGTTAAAGGGTCACAGGGGGCACAAGGGTCATGGGGGTCACAGGGTCATGACAGTCCCGGGGGTCCTGAGAGGTCACAGGGGTCATGGGGGTCAGGGGGTGACAAGATCATGGACATTACAACGGCCATTGGGGTCACAGCCCCGGCCCCACCGATCGCTGGGGGGGCCCCCCCGAGGAGCCCCCCCGGAGGGGCCCCCCGTGCCTGGAGTGCCGGGGACGGGGGGCCGGGGGGGGACACCCCCCGCTGCTGACGGTGGAGCCCCCTAGCGACAGCTCGGCCGACCTGAGTGACCGCTCGGACCGCGGCTCCATCAACCGGGGGGGCCCCTACGAGCCCGAGGGCACCGGGGGGGGCACCTTACCCCGCTCCGGGCCCCCCGCAGCCCCCCGGCGCCGCCGGAGCCCCTGGTAAGGCCACGTACCAGCGGGAGCCGCGGCAGAGCTGGGACTCGCCGGCGCTCAACAACGACGTGGTGCAGCGGCGCCAGTACCGCATCGGCCTCAACCTCTTCAACAAGTGAGGGGCTGGGGGTCCTCGGGAGGCTGGGGTTCTGTGCCGGACGTGGGGTGGGGTCTGGGGGGTCCGGCAGTGGGGCCATGCGGTGCTGCCACGGTCACCGGGGGAAGGCTGGGGTGGGATTGTTGGTGACGCCATGGTGAGGGCAGGGTGATGTTCCAGGTGAGCCTATAGTGAGGATGGGGGATGTTCTAGGTGACCCTATGGTGATGTTCTAGGTGACCCTATAGCGATGGTGGGGGGATGTTCTAGGTGACCCTATAGTGAGAGCAGGATGATGTTCTAGGTGACCCTATAGCAATGGTGGGGGGATGTTCTAGGTGACCCTATATTGAGAGCTGGGTGATGTTCTAGGTGAGCCTATAACAAAGGCAGGGTGACGTTCTAGGTGACCCTATAGCAAGGGCAGGGTGATGTCTGAGGTGACCCTGTAGGATCCCATAATGATGTGTGAGGTTTGCCCACACCCCTGTGGTGACGTTCTAGATGACCCTATAGTGAGGACAGGGGATGTTTGAGGTGACCCTGTAGAACCCCACAATGACATTCTAGGTGACCCTACCATGAAGTTCTAGGTGAGCCTATAGTGAGCACGGGGGGATGTTGGTGGCCCTGGAGAAGGGTGAGGTGGCCCTAGGGAAGGACAGGATGGCCATGGTGGCCCTGTGGCAAGGACAAGGTGATGTTTGAGGTGGCCCTGTAGAACCTCCCAGTGATGTTCTAGGTGATCCTACAGTGAAGCTCTAGGTAATCCTATGGTGATGTTCTAGGTAACTCTACTGTGGAGTTCTAGGTAGCCCTACGGTGACATTCCAGGTCACCCAGCACTCAAGACATGACAGCGTTCCAGGTGACCCTTTAGGGAAGCAGATGCCACCTGAGGTGACCCCATAGATGACCAGAGCCGGGGGCAGGTGACGTTCTAGGTCACTCTACACCCAGAGTGACCACCATGGCTGACCACACGGCCACCCCCCGCAGGAAGCCAGAGAAGGGGATCCAGTACCTGATCGAGAGGGGGTTCTTGTCCGACACCCCCGTGGGCGTCGCCCACTTCATCCTGGAGCGGAAGGGGCTGAGCCGGCAGATGATCGGCGAGTTCCTGGGCAACCGCCAGAAGCAGTTCAACCGCGACGTCCTCGAGTAAGGGGGGGACACACCGGGGACGGGGGGGGACACGCCGGGGCTGGGGGCGGCCCCCAGACCCATCCCCTCCTGCGGGGTCTTGGCAGCTGTGTGGTGGACGAGATGGATTTCTCCGGGATGGAGCTGGACGAGGCCCTGCGGAAGTTCCAGTCCCACATCCGGGTGCAGGGGGAGGCGCAGAAGGTTGAGCGCTTGATCGAGGCCTTCAGGTGAGGGGTGGGTCCCTGTCCCCATGTCCCCGTGTCCCCGTGTCCCCACATCCCCACTGCACTGCCCCTGCCACCAGCAGCACACACTGGTGTGGTCACCATGGGGTGATGTTCTAGGTCATTCTATGGGCCGTGGGTGTCGCCCACTTCATCCTGGAGCGGAAGGGGCTGAGCCGGCAGATGATCGGCGAGTTCCTGGGCAACCGCCAGAAGCAGTTCAACCGCGACGTCCTCGAGTAAGGGGGGGACACACCGGGGACGGGGGGGGACACGCCGGGGCTGGGGGCGGCCCCCAGACCCATCCCCTGCCACGGGGTCTCGGCAGCTGCGTGGTGGACGAGATGGATTTCTCCGGGATGGAGCTGGACGAGGCCCTGCGGAAGTTCCAGTCCCACATCCGGGTGCAGGGGGAGGCGCAGAAGGTTGAGCGCTTGATCGAGGCCTTCAGGTGAGGGGTGGGTCCCTGTCCCCGTGTCCCCGTGTCCCCACGTCCCCACTGCACTGCCCCTGACACCAGCAGCACACACTGGTGTGGTCACCATGGGGTGATGTTCTAGGTCATTCTATGGGTTGAGGGGGGGCACAAGGGGCTGGTGGCACCTGTGGGACATGGGGCTGTTCTAGGTGACCCTGTGGATTGAGGGGGGGCACAAGGGGCTGGTGGCACCTGTGGGACCAGGGGCTGTTCTAGGTGTCCTTATGGATTGAGGGGGGACACAAGGGGCTGGTGGCACCTGTGGGACCAGGGGCTGTTCTAGGTGACCCTATGGGTTGAGGGGGGACACAAGGGGCTGGTGACACCTGTGGGACCAGGGGCTGTTCTAGGTGACCCTTCAGACTGGCAGGACACTGGGGGATGGCCCCTGGACCACAGGGTGACATTCTAGGTAACCCTGTGGATCAAGGAGGGGCCATGGGGGTGGTGGCCCATGTTCTAGGTGACCCTACAGCCATTGGGGTGCTGCCCCACCCTTAGGGGTGGCTGTGGGGTGCAGAGGCCACCCCGCGAGGCGGGGCCGGCCGTGGGGCACCGTGACCCCATGGGCCGTGGGGGTTGTCCGCCCCGCAGCCAGCGCTACTGCGTGTGTAACGCGGCCCTGCTGCGCCAGTTCCGCAACCCGGACACCATCTTCATCCTGGCCTTCGCCATCATCCTCCTCAACACCGACATGTACAGCCCCAGCGTCAAGGCTGAGCGCAAGATGAAGCTCGAGGACTTCATCAAGAACCTGCGAGGTGAGGCCCTGCCAGGCCCTCACACCTTCCGGCGTTCCCCAGGAGGGGACACGGGTTCTAGAGCAGGGTGGCGGTGTAGTGGGTTCTAGAGCAGGGTGTTGGATGGTCTAGAGCTGGCCCAGGAGTTGTAGGTTCTGGAACAGGATCAGGTGTTACGAGTTTGAGGGCGGGCCCAGGTGTTGTGGGTTCTAGGCTGGGTCGGGTGTTGAAGGTTCTAGAGTGGGCCTGGTGGCTGTGGGTTCTGGGATGGATCTGGGATGACACCAGCGCAAGGGTGGGACTGGGTGTTGTGGGTTCTAGAATGGGGCAGAGGTCGCAGGTCCTGGAGCAGGTCCAGGTGTTGCAGGTTCTGGAGTAGATAATGGTGAGAAGGGTTCCAGAGTGGATCTGGGTGTTGGGGCTTCTACAAGGGGTCTGGGTGTCACAGGTCCTGGAGTCAGGCTGGGTGTTGCAGGTTCTAGAGGGGGTCTAGATGTCATTGGGTTCTAGAGACACCCATTAGTAGTGGACTTGTGGGTTCTAGAGCAGTGCCAGCTGTTGCAGGTCCTCGGGGGTGGGAGTGTTGTGGATTCTGGAGTGGTTCCACGTGACACGGGTTCTAGAGCGGGGCCGGGTGTCATGCAGGGGTGGACAATGGCGAGGACATCCCCCGGGACATGCTGGTGGGCATCTACCAGCGCATCCAGAGCCGCGAGCTGCGCACCAACGACGACCACGTGTCCCAGGTCCAGGCTGTCGAGCGCATGATCGTCGGCAAGAAACCGGTGCGTCTCCTCAGGGGTGGGGCAGGGGCCAGGGCACCCGGGGGGGGAGGGGCCAGGTGGTCCATGGGGGGAGGGGCCAGGTGACCCCATGGGACAGGTTCTAGGCCACCCAAAGGAGACATTCCAGGTGATCCTGTGGTGGGGAGGATGTTCTAGGCCGCCCATGGGAGATGTTCCAGCATTCCAGGAGATCCTGTGGGAAGGATGTTGCAGGTGGCCCTGTGGGGAAGGTTCTAGGTGACCCTATGGAAGATATGCTCTAGGTGACACATGGGGTAGGTTCTAGGTGACCCATGGGGCAGGTTCTAAGTGACCCATGGGGGGGATGTTCTAGGTGACCCATGGGGTAGGTTCCAGGTGGCCCAAGGGACACAATCCAGGTGATTTATGGGGAATGATCCAGGTGACCCATGGGGGACATTGTATGGGATCCATGTGGGACATTTGGGGTGACCTGTGGGGGACACTCAAAGTGACCCACATGGGACATTTGGGGTGACACATGGGACATTTGGGGTGGCCCATGGGGGACACTCAAAGTGACCCATGTGGGACATTCGGGGTGGCCCTTGAAGTGACCCTTGAAGTGACCCACATGGGACATTCAGGGTAGCCCAACATGTCCTTGCTCTGGATGACCCCAGTGAAGGTCCAAGGGCACCATCCCCACCCTGGGGCGGGTCTGGGGGGACATGTCCCACCCCAGATGTGACCCCGCCGCTGTCCCCAGGTGCTGTCCCTGCCCCACCGGCGCCTGGTCTGCTGCTGCCAACTCTACGAGGTGCCCGACCCCAACCGGCCCCAGCGCCTGGGGCTGCACCAGCGCGAGGTTTTCCTCTTCAACGACCTGCTGGTGGTGAGCGGGGGGTCCCGGGGGGTCCTCAGCCCCGGGGGATCCGGGGGGCTCCCAGGAGGTGGGACCCTGATGACCCCGTGGCCTGGGCAGGTGACGAAGATCTTCCAGAAGAAGAAGATCCTGGTGACCTACAGCTTCCGGCAGAGCTTCCCGCTGGTGGAGATGCACATGCAGCTCTTCCAGAATGCCTGTGAGCCCCACGGCGCCCGTGGGACCCCGCAGCACCCCAAAAAACCCTACAGCACCCTATGGGACTCTATAGCACCCCCAAAGAACCCTACAACACCTCATGGGACCCCGCAGCACCCCAAAAAATCCTACAGCACCCCATGGGACCCTACAGCACCTCAAAAAACCCTACAGCACCCCAAAGAACCCTACAGCACCCTATGGGACTCCACAGCACCCCAAGGAACCCTACAGCAACCTATGGGACCCTACAGAACCCTATGGGACCCTATAGGACCCCAAAAAACCCCACAGCACCCCAAGGAACCCCACAGCACCCCATGGGACCCTATAGGACCCCATGGGACCCCATGGGACCCTCTGGGACCTCCTGCTGTGTCCCCCCCTCGCCCTGTCCCCTCAAATTCCCAGTTTGGGATCAAGCTGGGGTTGGTGACCCTGTGGGGGTGTCCCTGACCCCCATGCCCCCCTAGATTCCCAGTTTTGGATCAAGCTGGGTGTCCCTGTGGGGGTGTCCCTGTCCCTGTGGGGGTGTCCCTGTCCCTGTGGGGGTGTCCCTGACCCCTGTGCCCCCCCAGATTCCCAGTTTTGGATCAAGCTGTGTGTCCCTGTCCCTGTGGGGATGTCCCTGTCCCTGTGGGGGTGTCCCTGACCCCCGTGCCCCCTGGTGCCCCCCCAGATTACCAATTTGGGATCAAGCTGCTGTCGGCGGCGCCGGGGGGCGAGCGCAAGGTGCTGATCGTGTTCAACGCCCCGAGCCCCCAGGACCGGCTGCGCTTCGCCAGCGACCTGCGCGAGTCCGTGGCCGAGGTGCAGGAGATGGAGAAGTACCGGGTGGAGGGTGAGCACTGGGAGCACTGGGAGCACTGGGAGGGGCACTGGGAGCACTGGGAGCGCTGGGAGGGGCACTGGTGGCACTGGGAGGGATATTGGGGACACTGGGAGGGACACTGGGAGTGCTGGGAGGGACACTGGGAGTGCTGGAAAGGGCACTGGGAGCACTGGGAGGGATACTGGGAGCATTGAGAGGGACACTGGTGGCACTGGGAGGGATATTGGGGACACTGGGAGGGACACTGGGAGTGCTGGGAGGGACACTGGGAGTGCTGGAAAGGGCACTGGGAGCACTGGGAGGGATACTGGGAGCATTGAGAGGGACACTGGTGGCACTGGGAGGGATATTGGGGACACTGGGAGGGACACTGGGAGTGCTGGGAGGGACACTGGGAGTGCTGGAAAGGGCACTGGGAGCACTGGGAGGGATACTGGGAGCATTGAGAGGGACACTGGTGGCACTGGGAGGGATATTGGGGACACTGGGAGGGACACTGGGAGTGCTGGGAGGGACACTGGGAGTGCTGGAAAGGGCAGAGGGGCACTGGGAGGGGCACTGGTGGCACTGGGAGGGACACTGGGAGTACTGGGAGGGACACTGGGAGCACTGGGAGGGGCACTGGTGGGACTGGGAGGGATATTGGGGACACTGGGAGGGACACTGGGAGTGCTGGGAGGGACACTGGGAGTGCTGGAAAGGGCACTGGGAGCACTGGGAGGGATACTGGGAGCATTGAGAGGGACACTGGTGGCACTGGGAGGGATATTGGGGACACTGGGAGGGGCACTGGGAGGGACACTGGCAGCACTGGGAGGGGCACTGGGAGGTCACCGGTGTGACTGGGGGGGGTCACTGGTCTGACTGGGGTGTCACTGGTGTGACTGGGAGGTCACCGGTGTGACTGAGGGGGGTCACTGGTGTGACTGGGGTGTCACTGGTGTGACTGGGAGGTCACCAGTGTGACTGGGGGGGTCACTAGTTTGACTGGTGTGACTGGGGGGGTCACTGGTGTCACCGGTGTGACTGGGGGGGTCACTGGTGTCACCGGTGTGACTGGGGGGGTCACTGGTGTCACCGGTGTGACTGGGGGGGTCACTGGTGTCACCGGTGTGACTGGGGGGGTCACTGGTGTCACCGGTGTGACTGGGGGGGTCACTGGTGTCACCGGTGTGACTGGGGGGGTCACTGGTGTCACCGGTGTGACTGGGGGGGTCACTGGTGTCACCGGTGTGACTGGGGGGGTCACTGGTGTCACCGGTGTGACTGGGGGGGTCACTGGTGTCACCGGTGTGACTGGGGGGGTCACTGGTGTCACCGGTGTGACTGGGGGGGTCACTGGTGTCACCGGTGTGACTGGGGGGGTCACTGGTGTCACCGGTGTGACTGGGGGGGTCACTGGTGTCACCGGTGTGACTGGGGGGGTCACTGGTGTCACCGGTGTGACTGGGGGGGTCACTGGTGTCACCGGTGTGACTGGGGGGGTCACTGGTGTCACCGGTGTGACTGGGGGGGTCACTGGTGTCACCGGTGTGACTGGGGGGGTCACTGGTGTCACCGGTGTGACTGGGGGGGTCACTGGTGTCACCGGTGTGACTGGGGGGGTCACTGGTGTCACCGGTGTGACTGGGGGGGTCACTGGTGTCACCGGTGTGACTGGGGGGGTCACTGGTGTCACCGGTGTCCCCCCCAGCCGAGCTGGAGAAGCAGAAGGGCGTGGCGGGGCCGCGGGGCGCGGGGCCCCCCCGCGAGGCGCTGAACGGGCTCAGCCGCAGCAGCCTGGAGGAGGCGTTCGGGGCCGAGGGGCTCAAACGGAGCGCGCTGAGCAGCTCCCTGCGAGACCTGTCCGACAGCGGTGAGACTGGGAGCACTGGGAGCACTGGGAGGGGCTGAGAGGGACTGGGAGAGGATTGGGAGGGGCTGGGAGAGACTGGGAGAGGATTGGGGGGGGCTGGGAGAGGATTGGGAGGGGCTGGGAGGGACTGGGAGAGGATTGGGAGGGGCTGGGAGGGACTGGGAGAGGATTGGGAGGGGCTGGCAGGGACTGGGAGGAGGATTAGGAGGGACTGGGAGAGACTGGGAGAGGATTAGGAGGGGCTGGGAGGGATTTGGAGGGGACTGGGAGAGAGTGGGGAGCACTGGGAGGGGCTGGGAGGGGATTTGGAGGGGCTGGGAGAGAGTGGGAGACAGTGGGAGGGGTTTGGGAGGGACTGGGAGAGACTGGGGAGCACTGGGAGGGGCTGGGAGGGGAATTGGGAGGGACTGGGAGGGGGTTAGAAGGGGCTGGGAGGGACTGGTGGGACTGGGAAGGGGACTGGGAGGGATGGGGAGGGACTGGCGGGGACTGGGAGGGACTGGGAGGAGGATTGGGACCAAACTGGGAGGGACTGGGGAGCACTGGGAGGGACTGGGGGCCACTGGGAGCCACCGTGAGGGGCTGGGAGGGGATTACGAGGGGCTGGGGGGTACTGGGGGGACTGGGAGCCACTGGGAGGGGGATTGGGAGGGACTGGGGGCAGTGGGAGGGGATTAGGAGGTTCTGGGGGGCACTGGGAGGGGATTGGGGGAGACTGGGAGGGACTGAGAGGGAGTTTGGGGTCTCCACGGGGGGAATTTGGGGTCCCTTTGGGAGTTTGGGGTGCCCAGGGAGGGGTTTGGGGTGTCCATGGGGGGATTTGGGTGCTCTTGGGGGAAGTTGGGGTGCCCTGGGGGGATTTTTGGGGTAACCACAGGGGAGTTTTGGGGTCCCCTGGGGAGTTTAGGGGCCTCTGGGAGGGTTTGGGGTTCCCTGGTGGGGCTTTGGGGAATTCGGGGTGCCCTGGGGGGGTGTCCTGGGGGGATTTGAGGTGTCCTGAGGGATTTGGGGTGTCCTGGGGGGGGGTCCCTGGGGGGATTTGGGGTGTCCTGGGGGGTGTCCCTGGGGGGGATTTGGGGTGTCCTGAGGGATTTGGGGTGTCCTGGGGGTGTCCCTGGGGGTCTCCCCTCACTGCTCCCCCCCCCAGGCAAGCGGGGCCGGCGGAACAGCGTGGGGTCCCTGGACAGCACCATCGAGGTGAGGGGACAGTGCCACCCCTGCATGTCACCCCCTGAGTGCCACACCCCTGTCACACCCCTGTCACACCCTCAGTGCCATCCCCGAATGTCAGCCCCTGAGTGCCACACCCCTGTCACACCCTGAGTGCCACCCCCCAAGTGCCACCCCTGAGTGTCACACCCCTAAACATCACACCTCTGAATGTCACACCCCGAGTGCCACCCCCTGAGTGCCACCCCTGAGTGTCACACCCCTGTCACACCCCTAAATGTCACACCTCTGAATGTCACACCCTGAGTGCCACCCCCCAAGTGCCACCCCTGAGTGTCACACCCCTGTCACGCCCCCTGAATGTCACCCCTAAATGCCACCCTGAGTGCCACCCCCTGCATGTCACATGCCTGTCACACCCCTGTCACACCCTCAGTGCCACCCCCAATGCCACACCCCAATGCCACACCCAAACCCCGCCCACTTTAGCCCCGCCCCCGGCTACCAACTCACCCTTCCTATGGAAAAGGGGCGGGGCTTGTGCATGCTCTGGGGGTGGGGCCAACCAGCGATTGCCGTTCTTATCCACCAATGGGCGCTCGTTTTCCGTCTTGGGGGCGTGGCTAGCGATCGGGAGGCGTGGCTTCCCCATGCTGATGGGAGGCGCCAACTCCCCAGAGGGGCGTGGCTTCCCCGCGCTGACCCCGCCCCCTTCCAGGGCTCCATCATCAGCAGCCCCCGGCCGCAGGCGCGGGGGGCCCCGGGGGGCGCCCCCGACGGCGCCTACAAACCCCCGGCGCGGCCGGTCTCCAACTCCTCGTCCTTCCTGGGCTCCCTGTTCGGCAGCCGCCGCGGGAAAGGCCCCCCCGGGCCCCCCCCCGGCGCGGGGGGTCCCACCTCGGCCTCGGCCTCCTCATCCTCGGCGTCTTCATCGCACCACCACCACCACCCCCGCTTGGGGTCCCCCCGGGGGTTTTGGTTTTGGGGGGGCGTCCCAGGCGGCCGGGCCCCCCCCGGGGAGCCCCCCAGGCACCCGCATGCGCCCGCGCCGGGCCCTGTATATAAGAGACTGTATATTTGATGCTTCATAAACGGACCGGCCGGCCCCGCCCGCCAGCGCTTCTCTGGGGGGGCGGGACACGCCTATAGGGGCTATAGGGGATGGGGTGGGGAGGGGGCAGCGGGATTGAAGGGGTCTGGGAAGTATAGGGGATCTAATAGGGAGCACGGGGCTGTGGAGGTTCTGTGGGCTATAGGGGTTCTGGGGGTTATAGGGGCCATGGGGGTTGTAGGGATCCTGGGAGCTATAGGGGTCCTAGGGGGTATAGGGGCCATGAGAGCTATAGGGGCCATGGGGGCTATAGGGGCCAACAGGGCTATAGAGCCTATGTGGGCTATAGGGACCATGGAGGCTATAGGGGTCCTGGCGCTATAGGGGCTGTGGAGGCTATAGGGGTCCTTGGGGCTATAGGGGTCCTTGGGGCTATAGGGGCTGTGGGAGCTATAGGGGTCCTTGGGGCTATACGGGCTGCGGGAGCTATAGGGGTCCTTGGGGCTATAGGGGCTGTGGGGGCTATAGGGGCCATGGGGGTTATAGGGATCCTGGGAGCTATAGGGGTCCTAGGGGCTATAGGGGCCATGAGAGCTATAGGGGCCATGGGGGCTATAGGGGTTATGGGGGCTATAGGGGTCCTTGGGGCTATAGGGGCTGTGGGAGCTATAGGGGTCCTTGGGGCTATACGGGCTGCGGGAGCTATAGGGGTCCTTAGGACTATAGGGGCTGTGGGGGCTATAGGGGCCATGGGGGTTATAGGGGTCCTAGGGGCTATAGGGGCCATCAGAGCTATAGGGGACAAGAGGGCTATAGAGCCTATGTGGGCTATAGGGACCATGGGGGCTATAGGGGCCATGAGAGCTATAGGGAACCATGAGGGCTATAGGAGCTGTGGGAGCTCCAGGGGTCCTGGGGGGCTGTAGGGGTTCTGGGGTCTATAGGGGCGATGGGGTCTATAGGGGTTCTGGGGGCTATAGGGGTTCCGGGGGCTATAGGGGCCATGGGGTTTATAAAGGTCCTGGGGATCCTTAGGGGCTGCAGGACGATCGGAGACACGGGGGTCCTGTGTGTCTGTCGGGGTCCAGGGGGTTCCATAGGGGTGGGGTCCATAGGGGTCCCGGGAGTCCATAGGGGTGGGGGTCTGTAGGGATCCATGGAGGTTCATAGATTCTAAAAGGGTCCTGGGGGTCTATAGGGTCAGTGGGGTTCTACAGGATCCATGAGGGTCCCTGGGGAGTCCATAGGGGTCTATAGGATCCATGGGGGTCCATTGGGGTCCTTGGGGGTCTATAGGATCCATGGGGGTCCCTAGGAGTCAATAAGGGTCTATAGGGGTCCATAGGGGTCTATAGGGCCCATAAGGGTCCCTGGGGGTCCATAGGATCCATGGGGGTCCCTGGGGGTCCTTAGGGGTCTATAGGATCCATGAGGGTCCCTGGGGGTCAATAAGGGTCTATAGGAGTCCATAGGGTCCCTGGGGGTCAATAAGGGTCTATAGGAGTCCATAGGGGTCTATAGGGCCCATAAGAGTCCCTGGGGGTCCATAGGATCCATGGGGGTCCCTGGGGGTCCTTAGGGGTCTATAGGATCCATGAGGGTCCCTGGGGGTCAATAAGGGTCTATAGGAGTCCATAGGGGTCTATAGGGCCCATAAGGGTCCCTGGGGGTCCATAGGGGTCTATAGGATCCATGGGGGTCGCGGGGGTCTCGAGGAGGGCGTGGAATGGCGGAGAGGCGTGGCCGATGGGGGCGTGGCATCAACAAATCCCGCCCCTCCACGTGACCCCGCCCTCCTCGCGGCCGCCCTGCGCGCATGCGCCCTGCGTCCCTTTAAACGTGCACAACAAGTCCCGGCCCCTCCGCTGACCCAGCCGCGGAGGCGAGCGGTGCCGCGAAACCCTCCGCATGGGAGGGGCGGAGCCTGAGAACTATTTCTCCGTCCCTCGTCCCGCCACACCGCCTCCCGCCACCCGGACCGCGGCGGGGAGGCTCCGGTGCTGTTCTCCCCTCTCTCTGCTCCCGCCCTCGCCGGCGGTTGCGGCGCTGCTGCGGCGCTCGGCGCCCGTCCCTGTCCCGCGGCGGAAGGACACGGGGACTCACTGAACAGCCCGTCACGGCGTGCGCGGCCGCGCCTGCGCAGTACGCGCGTGCGCGCGGGCGGGGGGCGGGCGGCAGGAGGAGGAGGATCCAAGATGGCGGCGGCGGCCCGGCCGGGGGGACCGGGCAGGCCTGGGCTGTGAGGCGGGCGGAGCGCGGGGCGGCGGGGCTGGACGGGCCGGAGAGGCGGCGCAGGGTCCGTGGAGGGGCCGGCGGGTCGGCGGAGTTCGCGGGCGCTGTCTTGACCCCCCTTTCCCCGCGGCTCGGGGCCGGGGGGGGGGCCGGCCCGCGGCCTGTGAGGGGGCGGCGCGGAGGCGGCGGGGCCTCCATGGCCCCCTGAGGGGGTCCCGGCGGGCAGCCCGGGAACCCCCCGCTCCCCTCGGTGCGAGGGATGGAGGAGGGGGAGCAGCAGCGCGCAGGGGGCGGCTGGGCCGAGTGGGGGCCCGGCCCGGGGGGGTCCCCGCCGTGGGTCCCCCCGCCGCCGCCCGACGGGGACGAGGAGCCCAAGCGGGGCCGCGGCGCGGAGTGGGGAGGGCCGGAGCCCTCCGGGGACGCGGGGCCCCCCCGGCCGGCGGCCGCGCCCCCCAAAGCTCCGGGGGACGAGAAGGCCGCGAGCGCCCCGCGGCCCCCCCGGACCGGGGGCGAACCGCGGGCTAAGGGCGGGGGGGGACCGGGGAAAGGACCCGGGGGGCGCCCGGCGGGCGAGGAGCGGAGCCCCCGCAAGCCCCCCGAGGAGCGCGGGGCCCGCGGCGGGGAGCGGCCCGGCCCCGAGGACAAGGCCCGGCGGCCCCTCGGGGGTCCCCGCGGCGGGGCCGGCCCGGAGCAGCGTGGGGAGTGGGGGTCGCCGTGGCTACCGAGCGAACCGGAGCCCCCCGAGGACTTTTTGCCCCCGCCGGAGTGTCCCGTGTTCGAGCCCAGCTGGGCCGAGTTCAGCGACCCCCTGGGTTACATCGCCAAGATCCGCCCGATCGCCGAGAAAAGCGGAATCTGCAAAATCCGACCCCCGGCCGTGAGTATGGGGGGGGGTCCGGGGGGGTTTTGGGGACCCCCTC